TTGCGGTCAGTGACAATTTGAAAATTTTGCATATTTTTGCCGTTTTTATATTCGACCAGTATCAATATTCAGTTCCTGGAAATGTTTACTTTCTTTCCAAATTTTAGGTTACTGAAATCTGATTGGCTTATTTTCATTTTTGCACATTCGGTCCTTTGCGTATGAGGGATTCCAACTTATAAATGATCTTAAAAATTTTTCCGAACCAGTCGTAACCTCGAAACGAAACAAAAAACCCAGTTTTGATCATTTTTCACAAAAATACGGCAATTTGAGAAATGCCATTTTGATTAACTAGGAATAATTTAAGGGTTGCTATTTCCCAGTTTTCTTTTGTCGTATTGCGCGTAGCGTAGATTAGGAATCAATTCACCTCAGAATTTAATCTAAATTGAATTAAAGCAAGCTAGTTGGTCCTATAGACGCACAAATCAACAAGAGTCGCATCACTGTAAAATTAAATTAGAAGCTTTGAAAAACCTACAGCAAAATCAAAAATATTTCTCAAAATTTTCCTTACTTAAGCAGTTTTAACTCCTCTATGGTTTAGCTTGAATTTGAAGAGTGTAAGGCTTCCATAAAAAAATAAACCAAGTTTATTGCTTCAAGAAATTGTAAGAAAAGAGCACTAGGGCGTAGATTTTACTTTGTTCCACATGTTTTTGAGCACCTCAAAAATAGCTTGTCGGTATTGCGTGATGACATATTGCTCAACTCACGAGCCGTTGCTCGTGAGTTGGGTTGCAACAAAATTTAAAAAAGTTGTAGTAGTGTCGAGAAAAAATTGTTTTGAATTATTGAAAGCTTCAGACTAAAAAATTAGGACACTCAACTTAACTTTAATGACAACCAATTTTTATCAAGTTTGATGTTATTTTTGCTAGATTATTATTTGATTTTTGCGGTACATTTGCTAAATTAACTGCCGTTTGCTACAAAAAAAATCAACTGGAAAATTAGGTGAACAAAATTTTTGTTTCAAGTTTCTGGGTTTAAAAAAAATATTTTTGAAAATAATTTGTACGAATTATGCGGAAAAATTAATCCAAATTTGAGAAAAAGACTCGCAGTAAGCATCGTTTTCTAATTTGCAATTCAGGGCATCAAAATTTAAGAGATTATATAAAATTTAAACCCCGAAAATTTTGTTTAAAAATCAAAGCTTGTCTTGCAATACAACACAGAGCAGCACCCTTCGGCTACTATAGCCAAAACACAAAACAAAAGTGTCGTTTGTAATTTTATGACTCCGATTAATTTTATTTATGAATAGTTGCCAAAGTTTTTATCTTTTGTGGTTTTTAGACTTTTTCTTTTTCACTCAAAGCCGCATTCACGGTCATCCCTTAAAATTTGTTCCGTAATTTGAAAGTATATTCTAAGTAAACACAGTTTCTTATGTTGATGCAATTGAGAATTCCGAATTTTTTTGTTGCAAACCAACGTTTTTGGGATATATCGTCAAAAGTATAACCATCAAATTTTAATTTTTAAATCAAAAATTAAGGGTTGAAATTTCACAGCATCTGTAAAATTGAATAGCGTAAAAATGACTCCCAATTATTTCTTAGTGAATTCTCAGCTGTCATAATGAAACCGAAACCTGATTTTATTGTTCCGACTTTCGATACGAAAATAACGGAATATTTGTGCTCGGGTGGGTTTTTTTTTCTTCAGACAAATTTCGACTTTTTAACTAGCCATTTTTGACGGAATTTTTTATATCATTCAAGAGGTATTGTTGTCCTGAGCTTAAATTTGAAAAAATATTTCACCTGTGATCATTTTTCGTAGAGTTACGGTGGTTTAAAGATTGCCATTTTGGTCAATTCGGGACAATTAACGCGCCATATATTTCGCGCCATTAACGCGTAAACGGAGAGTTAATCCGTCTTAGAAATCGTTCCAAATTTGTTAAAAGAAGCTTATTTGCCATAATTGATTTGTTACAAGGAGCAAATTTTATCCTTTTGTACTTTATATGGCGTGTGGGGGGATGATTTTCAAAAAAATTTCAAACTTAAGAAAAAAAAATTTTGATTTTTTTCTTTTATTTATTTTTTTAATATTATTACTGCTCCATAAACCTTAGAGGGCAGTCAGAACATTCAGGGCTTCGCCCTGATACGAGCAGTCTTGTTGTTTTTTATAAGTGAATATTGAAACCCAGTCTGAACAAAAATGAGGCTAGAAGAATGAGTATACACAGGAAAATCAGTTCACGGCTATTTCAGGGACAATATTGAAGCACTGTTACAAAACATAAAAATTTGTGATTCAATTTGCAAACAAAATCAGAAAGGTTTTTAGAAGATCAAGGAAATTGCCCTCCAAACTGCTCTCCGGATGTGTTTTAGTTCCTTGTGATATTTGATTTTGTTTTTAGATCAGAACAGAATGAGTGTTATCTTATTTTAAAGCCCGACAACATTGAAAAATTTGAATCTGAGCGTTCAATGTTGAAAAAAAACCAATTTCAAAAATTTGATTTTCGGTCAAATTTCGAGCAAAAAACCAAATTTTGAAGTTTCGTGCAGCCCTTTACCAGCACGATAACCTCAAAAAAAAATCTTTAAGAACTGTACCGGACTGCGTAATGAAATTCTCAATTGTTTTTCCTTAAATTTCCAGCTTTGCTAAAGTAACCGAAGTTTAATTGGGTTGTTTTTATATAATGATCAATAAAACCCAGTTTCAAACGAAAATGTGGGGCCAGTAAACTGAGCACACAGGAAAACCAGTACACGGACAAATCAGAGACTAAGTTAACTTAACATCCAACTATTGCAAAAAGGCGACGGCAAAGAAAAGAGGTGCAAAAAATTCGATGAAGCAATTAGCCGAAAACCCTGGAAACAAAAAAATTATGCGGCAGTCAGTGAAATAATGATAAAAAATAGTAACTATAATAATCATGGAAATCATAATATTAATAATAGTAATAATAATAAAAATTGGGGTTTCTTCGATTCGCGCAAAATCTGTGAAAAATTATCCAGCCTATTTAACCATAGTCCGCTGAGCGAAGCTCTTTTTTGCGACTCAAGGCCGTTTTTTTTGCGTCCAGAACTTTCTCGTGGTACCAAACAGTGTACTTTCACAGTGTAAGGTCTGAACTATTACACTTCGAGGTAGGAGTGCTTATCTTTTACGGGCGATCAGTGCTCAGATCAAGCCATTGCACACTAGATTGGGCTGTGCGTGATTTCGGTGCTCTGGAATTGCATTTATTTTTTTTCTTCATTCTAAATGTAGTCTCATTTTTCACTTGGTATTTCGAGTAAATGTGTTTTGAATTTCTTTTTTTTTGTTTTTTAGACGCAAATATCTATCTGTATACTCAAACAACGGCCCTTTCAAACAGCATCTGTTTAAAACCCAAAATTTTGCTGGAGCTCACATGATTTATAATTCACAGAATAAAGACATTTCATAAGATTTAGCTTTTTTTAATATTACGCAATGTAGGGGCGGATTGTTTTTTGGTGGGGGGAAGGGGGCGGGGGAGGGCGGACGCTTCCTTTTCAGGGATTCGACCCCCTGCGTATCAAAGCATAACAATATGTGATTCAAATCACAAACAAAAATCTAATTTGTTTTCACCGTATCAATAACAACTGCTCTCCAAAACTGCTCTCTGGGTGTTTTATTTTTATATTCTTTTTGAAGAAAAAAAATGAGGTGCCACAAACATTAATCAGAACAGAATGAATATTATAATATAATGGAGCCCGTACAGTCGTGATTCGAACGACGTTCCGTACATTTCGTTGGAAAGTTTCGTGCAGCCCTTCAACATTTGTACCATGAAAAAAATGAAATGTTTTGATTGTTATGAGTTTTTCTTGAAACTTTTGGTTTTGAATTTTGTTATCAATCGCCACAAAACCTATAGTTAGCTGAAGCCAGAAATAAACCTTCTGTTATTAAAATACGACAAAGATATGTTCAGATACAAAAATTGGGATTTTAATTTCAGCAACAGCCTAGAAGCATAAAATGGAACATCGGACTCAACGCAAGAATCTCAAATACAACAACGACAAATTTCAACTTTATAATTGTAACAGAGCAGAAATCATTGTTCTAATTCAACTCATTCTATATCAATTTAAACACAGAGGAATAAAGGTGAGAACGTTTTTTATAACAGGTTGCTTTTTTGGCTGCTGTTATGACTCTGCTATCGCTACACTTAGAAGCAAAAAGTTAAAAGACAAGTTTAATTAAATGAGTAAATGACCTATATCAGAAAAATTTTGCATGCTGAGAACAACACGAAGCAACATATTGAAGAAAGTATGCGAAACAACAGCGGGTTTAGGGGGGACGGGGTCGGACGTTCTCTTCTTCTCAGGGATTTGACACCCTGCCGACCCCCAAAAGTTCCCCTCTTTGTACTATTTTGAAACGACGATTTTTGGCTGTCTGACCCTAAATACACCTTTGGCGCCAATATATCTTAATTTTGAGCGGAGAGCGCGCGCCAAAAAAACACCTAAAAAGCACTTTTTGCATTTGAATTTTACTTTTTAGGCAACCGTGGGACATCAAAAATGTCCAAAAATTTGCTCATGCGTGCAAGGTTTTTCTGAAATAGGTCATTGGCGCTTCAGTTTAGTTTTTCCTGCCCGAGTTTTTTGCGACCAATTATAGCAAAAGCAGAGTCATAACATAAGCCAAAAATGACTTGAATAGAGTGACTTGAACTCGAACAGTAACTTTTTTGTTTTTATTCTCTGGCGTTTGATCATCCGTTTTTTTTCTTTTTAACCGTTTGTAGAATTTATAGTTTATATAGCTGAATTTGATAATTTGGAGGACTTAAATTACAAAACGTATCGTTCTTCTAGGCTATGTTTTGTTCAGCTCCCTAGAGGTACAAAGGCGAGATTCATTTTTTTCATTTTCCATTTATTGTTCCGACTTTCGTAATGGAAGTAAAGGAATATTTGTGCTCGGGCTGTGTTTTTTTTTTCTTCAGACAAATTTTGACTTTTTAACTAGCCATTTTAGACAAAATTTTTTCATTTCATTCAAAAGGTATTGATGTTTTAAGCTTAAATTTGAAAAGATATCTTACCTGTGATCATTTTTTGTAAAGTTATCGGGGCTTAAAGATTGCCATTTTTGCCAATTTGGGACAATTAACACGCGATACATTTTGCACTATTAACGAGTAAGCGGAGATTTAATCCGTCTTAGAAATCGTTTCAAATTGGTTGAAGCAGGCTACTTGCCGTTGATTTGTTACTAGGAGCGAAATAGATCACTTTGTGTTTTAAGGGGCGTGTGGGGGATAATTTTTACAAAAAATTTATAATTTATAGGAAAAAAAGTTTAAAAAAACAGGGGGGGAGGGGGCGAAATTTCAAAAGTTGACATTCTTTTTTAGGTTGACTAAATTGATTTTTGAGTTCTATTAAAACACTACAAAAAGCCTGTTTTGGCCCAATGTTCTTTTGGACGTTTTTGGGCACTTTTTGATTAAAAAAATTTTGGCCAGAAAATTGCGTTTTTTGGCGCGCACTTCGCCCTCAAAACTAGAAAATTTTGGCGCCAAAGGCGCTAGTAGAAAAAGTTAAGGGTCCGTCAGCCAAAAATCTCGAAATAGTACTGTAACGCCCCTACATCTCCTCCCCTTTGCTATACCTTGCTTCTAATAAGTACTATTTTGCACTATTAACGAGTAAGCGGAGATTTAATCCGTCTTAGAAATCGTTTCAAATTGGTTGAAGCAGGCTACTTGCCGTTGATTTGTTACTAGGAGCGAAATAGATCACTTTGTGTTTTAAGGGGCGTGTGGGGGATAATTTTTACAAAAAATTTATAATTTATAGGAAAAAAAGTTTAAAAAAACAGGGGGGGAGGGGGCGAAATTTCAAAAGTTGACATTCTTTTTTAGGTTGACTAAATTGATTTTTGAGTTCTATTAAAACACTACAAAAAGCCTGTTTTGGCCCAATGTTCTTTTGGACGTTTTTGGGCACTTTTTGATTAAAAAAATTTTGGCCAGAAAATTGCGTTTTTTGGCGCGCACTTCGCCCTCAAAACTAGAAAATTTTGGCGCCAAAGGCGCTAGTAGAAAAAGTTAAGGGTCCGTCAGCCAAAAATCTCGAAATAGTACTGTAACGCCCCTACATCTCCTCCCCTTTGCTATACCTTGCTTCTAATAAGTACTTGGTGTACTCAGGTGCTCTCCTTGTTAGTTTTATATTATCCTGGAGGATATTTAATTTCCAAAAAGATTGAAAAATTTGATGGCAGATTGTAAAACTTTTAATTGGGTGGGGTTGTTTAGTTTACTTTACATAGTTCAGTGATTGTTAAAATCTTTCTTTTTCTATGCAAAGATGTTCAACAATCCCAATCCAGATAATGTGAGTAAATTTCTCTTAAACAATTTCTCTTTTCCAGTAAGAAGTATACTCCATTCCAATAATAGAACCCACAAGAATCATACCATAAGGTACTGGGGCTTATGCTACAGTACAAAGGGGGGACCCTTTGGGTCGCCAGGGCGTCCACCTCCCCGACAGAAAAATATTGCAAAAAAATAGTGCGAAAAATATCTTCTTTATTCACTTTTGCTCGTGGTATTCTTAAAAGTACAGTTGAATTTGCTATTTGACTCCATATCTGCCGGAAAACTTTATTTCAGTCTGCAGTCAAAAGTCAACTGTGCAGACATGAAATCAGCTGCTCTAAAAATATCGTGACCCATTTGAAACTAAGATACGAAGAAAGTCAGAGAAGCTTGTTCATTTACCAGTCTAACAAAGTCAGCAATTATGGGCCAAAATCCGACCAGAGACGCTCTGGCGAAGAGTTTCTTTGAGGCATTTCAGGAGCGACGATCGTCTGTTTTACTGAGAGATGACATTATAAAACCAGTCGAGAATGAAAATGCGACCATTAACCAAATAAAAACAGAGGGTGGAGAACCAGTGATCGAAGTCAGTTGTGACGATACCTACAAAACCGGTCATCGGAAGAAGAAGAGAAAACATAGCAGTCGGTCCAATGCTCCGTCTGCCAGAGAATCCACTGTAATGTCACCGGACATAGGTTCGATTCTGAGTGGGACCGATACTGAGACAGCTGTGGCAATTGGGATTCCGGACGGGGCGGATAAGTACGAACTGACGAGGGATGTGTTTGACAACAATTTAACGAAGCTGAAAGAAGTATGGAAAAAAGACATGTAAGATTGATTTTAGCTTGGTGCCAAGTGATGGTTGATAAAAAAGGAGCTTTTAGTAAGATACTTTGGAGTAATTTAAAAAAATTCAAAACTTGTTTTTTTTGGGCAGCGTTGAAAAACATCTAAATCTTACTGATCGCTTTATAGTTCGTTAGAGTAAGTTTTTGGCTCTTTTTCCTTTTCCTCCACCTCACACGACCATCACTTTTATGGTGTAACGAGTGGTTTTACAAGGTTTATTATAAAGATCAAATATGTTTGGCACTTGTTAATTAGTCCGCATGTCAATTTTCATAACAATCGGACAATGTGAACAGTAGCTTTATCAGTAAAAAAAAATTGCAGGTGGGGGGATCTTTTTCCTTTTCCCCCCACCTGCAATTTTGGCTCTTTTCCAGTCCCCCCCCCTTTCAAAATACCGAGTTTTATTTTTGTTTTACGTGTTATTACGGCTAAATGCGAGATGTTACGCTGTAAAGTATGAAGAACAAATCTGTTCACAATTGTCGATTCGTTCACCACGCCAAATTTCATTGCATTATGACAACGTTAATTAAGCTTTTCAAAATTGAATTTGAAAGGGGGGGGGGGGAACTGGAAAAGAGCCGCTATTTTTTATAATTAAAATTACTGTTTGCATTGTCCGATTGTCATGGAAATTGACATGCAAATAAACTAGGCCATGACAAACATATTTGGTCTTCATAATTAACCTTGTAAAACTACTCGTTAGACCATAAAATTGATGCTCATGTGGGGGGGGGGGGGGGAGAGGAAAAAGAGCCGGGGGGAGGAAAAAGAGCCAAGTTTTCAAGATCCCGGGAACAGTTGAAAGCTTCCAATTTAGTGTTGAACGGCGGATGCTCAACGGGTTTTCAAAGAGCCAAATTAGTACCATTTTGCTGCAATTCAATTTAGCCTTAATATCGCGGAAGATATTGCGAAAAATATCTTCCTTATTCACTTTTGCTCGTGTTATTGTTAAAAGTACAGTTGAATTTGCTATTGAATCGCGCCGTCAGTCTTTTCTTAAGTCTCGACGTCAATTCTTTTCTTAAGTCGCGCCGTCAGTGTTTTCTTGCGTTGCGCCGTCATCACACTAACGTTTTAGTCAAATTTTTTTAGCACACCATTTGATTGAACTTTTTTTACGTCGACAAAATTGATTTTCCTAGCTATCGCAAAACAATATAAAAATACCTTATAATGTTTTGGGAGAGCTCGGAAAATCAAGTCGGCGTAAAAAAAGTCGACCATCCCCAATGTGCCACCCGGGTTGAGGTCCGCGACTTAAGAAAAGACTTTGCAAGTCGCGCTGCATACCGTTTTGAGACTGAATTTTTCGTAAGTTGCGCCGCTTAATTCTTTTCTTAAGTCGCGGCGTCGGTCTTTTCGTAAGTCGCGCCGTCAGTCTTTTCTTAAGTCGCGCCGCTTAAGTCTTTTCTTAAGTCGCGCCGCTTAAATATTTTCTTTAGACGCGCCGTCAGTCTTTTCTTAAGTCTCGGCGTCAATTCTTTTCTTAAGTCGCGCCGTCAGTGTTTTCTTGAGTCGCGCCGCTTAAGTCTTTTCTTAAGTCGCGTCGCTTAAGTCTCTTCTTCAGTCGCGCCGTCAGTCTTTTCTTAAGTCTCGACGTCAATTCTTTTCTTAAGTCGCGTCGTCAGTGTTTTCTTGAGTCGCGCCGTCAGTCTTTTCTTAAGTCTCGACGTCAATTCTTTTCTTAAGTCGCGCCGTCAGTGTTTTCTTGAGTTGCGCCGTCAGTGTTTTCTTAAGTCCACCATCAGTTTTTTCGTAAGTTGAGCCGCTTAACTTTTTTCATAAGTTGCGCCGTCAGTCTTTACTTAAGTCGCGCCGTCAGTCTTTACTTAAGTCACGCCGTCAGTTTTTTTGTAAGTTGAGCCGCTTAATTGTTTTCATAAGTTGCGCCGTCAGTCTTTTCGTAAGTTGCGCCGTCAGTCTTTTCGTAAGTTGCGCCGCTTAAGTCTTTTCTTAAGTCGCGCCGCTTAAGTCTTTTCTTAAGTTGCGCAGTCAGTCTTCACTTAAGTCGCGCCGTCAGTCTTTTCTTCAGTCGCGCCGTCAGTCTTTTCTTAAGTCTCGACGTCAATTGTTTTCTTAAGTCGCGCCGTCAGTGCTTTCTTGAGTCGCGCCGTCAGTGTTTTCTTAAGTCTCGACGTCAATTCTTTTCTTAGGTCGTGCCGTCAGTCGTCACTTAAGTCACGCCGTCAGTTTTTTCGTAAGTTGAGCCGCTTAATTTTTTTCATAAGTTGCGCCGTCAGTCTTCTCGTAAGTTGCGCCGTCAGTCTTTTCGTAAATTGCGCCGTCAGTCTTTACTTAAGTCGCGCCGTCAGTCTTTTCGTAAGTTGCGCCGCCAGTCTTTTAGTAAGTTGCGCCGCCAGTCTTTTCGTAAGTTGCGCTGTCAGTCTTTACTTAAGTCGCGCCGTCAGTCTTTTTGTAAGTTGCGCCGTCAGTCTTTACTCAAGTCGCGCCGTCAGTCTTTTCGTAAGTTGCGCCGCTTAAGTCTTTTCCTAAGTCGCGCCGCTTAAGTCTTTTCTTAAGTTGCGCAGTCAGTCTTCACTTAAGTCGCGCCGTCAGTCTTTTCGTAAGTTGCGCCGCCAGTCTTTTCGTAAGTTGCGCCGTCAGTCTTTTCGTAAGTTGCGCCGTCAGTCTTTACTTAAGTCGCGCCGAAATGTGCCACCCGGGTTGAGGTCCGCGACTTAAGAAAAAACTTTGCAAGTTGCGCTGCATTCCATTTTGAGACTGAATTTTTCGTAAGTTGCGCCGCTTAAATATTTTCTTTAGACGCGCCGTCAGTCTTTTCTTAAGTCTCGGCGTCAATTCTTTTCTTAAGTCGCGCCGTCAGTGTTTTCTTGAGTTGCGCCGCTTAAGTCTTTTCTTAAGTCGCGTCGCTTAAGTCTCTTCTTCAGTCGCGCCGTCAGTCTTTTCTTAAGTCTCGACGTCAATTCTTTTCTTAAGTCGCGTCGTCAGTGTTTTCTTGAGTCGCGCCGTCAGTCTTTTCTTAAGTCTCGACGTCAATTCTTTTCTTAAGTCGCGCCGTCAGTGTTTTCTTGAGTTGCGCCGTCAGTGTTTTCTTAAGTCTCGACGTCAATTCTTTTCTTGAGTCGCGCCGTCAGTCTTTACTTAAGTCCACCATCAGTTTTTTCGTAAGTTGAGCCGCTTAACTTTTTTCATAAGTTGCGCCGTCAGTCTTTACTTAAGTCGCGCCGTCAGTCTTTACTTAAGTCACGCCGTCAGTTTTTTTGTAAGTTGAGCCGCTTAATTGTTTTCATAAGTTGCGCCGTCAGTCTTTTCGTAAGTTGCGCCGTCAGTCTTTTCGTAAGTTGCGCCGCTTAAGTCTTTTCTTAAGTCGCGCAGCTTAAGTCTTTTCTTAAGTCGCGCCGCTTAAGTCTTTTCTTAAGTTGCGCAGTCAATCTTCACTTAAGTCGCGCCGTCAGTCTTTTCTTCAGTCGCGCCGTCAGTCTTTTCTTAAGTCTCGACGTCAATTGTTTTCTTAAGTCGCGCCGTCAGTGCTTTCTTCAGTCGCGCCGTCAGTGTTTTCTTAAGTCTCGACGTCAATTCTTTTCTTAGGTCGTGCCGTCAGTCGTCACTTAAGTCACGCCGTCAGTTTTTTCGTAAGTTGAGCCGCTTAATTTTTTTCATAAGTTGCGCCGTCAGTCTTCTCGTAAGTTGCGCCGTCAGTCTTTTCGTAAATTGCGCCGTCAGTCTTTACTTAAGTCGCGCCGTCAGTCTTTTCGTAAGTTGCGCCGCCAGTCTTTTAGTAAGTTGCGCCGCCAGTCTTTTCGTAAGTTGCGCTGTCAGTCTTTACTTAAGTCGCGCCGTCAGTCTTTTTGTAAGTTGCGCCGTCAGTCTTTACTCAAGTCGCGCCGTCAGTCTTTTCGTAAGTTGCGCCGCTTAAGTCTTTTCCTAAGTCGCGCCGCTTAAGTCTTTTCTTAAGTTGCGCAGTCAGTCTTCACTTAAGTCGCGCCGTCAGTCTTTTCGTAAGTTGCGCCGCCAGTCTTTTCGTAAGTTGCGCCGTCAGTCTTTTCGTAAGTTGCGCCGTCAGTCTTTACTTAAGTCGCGCCGAAATGTGCCACCCGGGTTGAGGTCCGCGACTTAAGAAAAAACTTTGCAAGTTGCGCTGCATTCCGTTTTGAGACTGAATTTTTCGTAAGTTGCGCCGCTTAATTCTTTTCTTAAGTCGCAGCGTCGGTCTTTTCGTAAGTCGCGCCGTCAATTCTTTTCTTAAGTCGCGCCGTCAGTGTTTTCTTGACTTGCGCCGCTTAAGTCTTTTCTTAAGTCGCGTCGCTTAAGTCTTTTCTTAAATTGCGCCGTCAGTCTTTACTTAAATCGCGCCGTCAGTTTTTTCGTAAGTTGCGCCGCCAGTCTTTTCGTAAGTTGCGCCGTCAGTCTTTTCGTAAGTTGCGCCGTCAGTCTTTACTTAAGTCGCGCCGTCAGTCTTTTCGTAAGTTGCGCCGCCAGTCTTTTCGTAAGTTGCGTCGTCAGTCTATTCGTAAGTTGCGCCGTCAGTCTTTACTTAAGTCGCGCCGTCAGTCTTTTCGTAAGTTGCGCCGCCAGTCTTTTCGTAAGTTGCGTCGTCAGTCTATTCGTAAGTTGCGCCGTCAGTCTTTACTTAAGTCGCGCCGTCAGTCTTTTCGTAAGTTGCGCCGCCAGTCTTTTCGTAAGTTGCGCTGTCAGTCTTTACTTAAGTCGCGCCGTCAGTCTTTTCGTAAGTTGCGCCGCCAGTCTTTTCGTAAGTTGCGCCGTCAGTCTTTTCGTAAGTTCCGCCGTCAGTCTTTACTTAAGTCGCGCCGTCAGTCTTTTCGTAAGTTGCGCCGCCAGTCTTTTCGTAAGTTGCGCCGTCAGTCTTTTCGTAAGTTGCGCCGTCAGTCTTTACTTAAGTCGCGCCGTCAGTCTTTTCGTAAGTTGCGCCGCCAGTCTTTTCGTAAGTTGCGCCCCCAGTCTTTTCGTAAGTTGCGCTGTCAGTCTTTACTTAAGTCGCGCCGTCA